TGTAGGGAATTGTGAAGGTAGCACAGAGAACTCTTATTCTGCATTAACAAAATGTTTGGGCCCTGAATAAATATGTCTTAAGGTTTCCAGCAATGTTGTTTACCGGGAGAAGAGAGAAGATGTCGTCCAAAACCAAAAACTATTAGCTGAATTCTAAATTACTTATTTTTTTTCTTGAACTGAAAGTTAAACCATAGCAATAATGATGGCGCAGCCAATCCTGGAAACCATTTCCAGGCACATTAAGGACAAGAAAATCATCAGTAGTAGTCAGCATGGCTTCACCAAGGGGAAGTCATACTTGACCAACTTGATAAGCTTCTACAATGAAATGACTAGCATGGTAGACAAGGGAAGTGCAGTGGATATTGTCTACCTGGACTTCAGTAAGGCCTTTGACACTGTCTCCCATAAGATCCTCATCAAAAAGCCTTTGATCTATGGGCTGGATGAGCAGACATTGAGATGGGTTGAAAACTGGCTGAATGGCCAGGCCCAGAGGGTGGTGATCAGTGGCATGAAGTCTAGTTGGAGGCCAGTAACTAGTAGTGTACCCTAGGGGTGTATACTGGGTCCAGTCCTGTTTAACATCTTCGTTAATGATCTGGATAATGGGGTAGGATGATGTACCCTCAGGAATTTTGGTGATGACTCAAAACTGGGAGGTGTGGCTGACGCATCAGAGGGTCGTGCTGCCATCCAGAGGGATCTCAACAGGCTGGAGCAATTGGCTGACAGGAACTTCATTAAGTTCAACAAGGAGAAGTGCAAAGTCCTGCACCTGGAGGGGAACAGCTCCATGCACCAGTATACGCTGGGAGCCACCCAGCTGGAAAGCAGCTTAGCAGAGAAGGACCTGGGGGTCCTGGTAGGCACCAAACGGAAAACGAGCCAGCAATGCGCTCTTGTGGCAAAGAAGGCAAATGGTATCTTGGGCTGCATTAGACAGAGTATTGCCAGCGAGTCAAAGGAGGTGGTCCTTCCCCTCTGCTCAGTACTGGTGAGGCCACACCTGGAGTACTGTGTCCAGTTCTGGGCTCCCCAGTACAAAAGAAACGTAGACATACTGAAGAGAACCCAACAAAGGACCACAAAGGTTATTAGGGGGTTGGAAAATCTCTCCTATGAGGAAAGGCTGAGAGAATTGGGACTGCTCAGCCTGGTGAAGAGAAGGCTCAGAGAATCTTCTTAATGTATATAAATGCCTTAAGGAGGGGTGCAAAGAGGATGGATTCAGGCTCTTTCCAGTAGTGCCCACTGACAGGATCAGAGGCAATGGGCATAAACTGAAACATGGGAGGTTCCCTCTGAACATCAGGAAACACTATTTTGCTGTGAGGGCAGCTGAGCAGTGGAACAGGTTGCTCAGGGAGGGTGTGGACTCTCCATCCTTAGAAATATTCGAAAGCAGTCGAGACACAGTCCTGGGCAGCTGGCTCTGTGTGGCCCTGCTTGAGCAGGCGTTTGGAGCAGATGAGCTCCAGGGGTCCCTTCCAGTCTCAACCATTCTGCGATTCTGATTCTGTAAACAAACTTCCAGTATGTAATGATAGTGAAAATATGGGTGTGTTACAGTTATAGACAGGCAGTTGCTTTTTATATACAGATACTGTCTGTCATATTAGTTTTCTCCCACAGTTATTTCACAGATTCTCTTACAAAGCAAAAGAACCTTAATAAGATGTATCTTATTATCTGTGTTTAATTTGGGGGGGGGGGGGGGGTGGGGGGGGGGAATGTATGCTTTGTATGTTAATGTTCTGCGGAGCGAATGGAGAAAAGTACTAGTAGACCATCAGTGGTCTCCTCCTTCTGTAATGTCCAGATGTGTCCCTTATTTTTTCCTCCAGCATCAAAAGTTTGAACATTGGGTTTTGTATTCTCAGCAACTTTCCAGGCTTTTGCTGTAGTAAAACATGTTTTCCAGCAATGAGTTTACAGCTGAAAATTATGGAAATAAGCTTTTCCTGTTCACATGGATTTTTGTGTAATATTGTATTCATTTCCTCATTCCTTACTTCTTGATATATTGCCTACTCAAGACCACATGGAATGCTGGAGCTCACAAACTTTTTGGGTGACTTCAACTTGCATATGCAAAAAAAAAAAAAAAGGTCGTAGCTTACTGGGAAGGGTGTCTTTTTCTCCCCTACTTCATTTATCTTATACATTTGATAGCATTTTATTAGTAGCATACTGCCTTCAGAAGTGGACTTCATTCTGTCTTTGGTGCTTGTTTGCCACTGTATAAAAAAAAAAAAAATATCTATCTATCAAAAGGTATCTGCTGGGGCAATCATATATCTTCCGATTCTTATGCCTCCAGCAGAAGGTCTGTAAGAGGACAGTTAAGCAATTCACACATATATGTTCTCTGCCTCCATAAAGATGACATTTCTGAGCAGCGTATTAGGACAACTGGCATGTTATGAGTGAAATTCTTATCCCAGAGGACCTTTTGAGACAATAGTTCATCATCGGCTTAGTGACTTCTGTTACAGTTGTATTCTGCAGGGCAGGCAAGCTGGTAAGACAGTGAAGAGGTTTTAAACAGCGAGTAAAAGTCTAGGAGAAAGGAAAATTCAGTCCCTTTTTCTTTCGCTTGTGAGGTATTGTGACACCTCCAGGCAGATGGCTAAGGTTCATCAGAAATGAGAAAATACTTATCACGGAGCAGTGATCCCAGTACTGTGTTAGACCAGGCATTCCGAAGACCTACCCTGTCTTTCTCTTCCTCAGTGCTGAAGCCTTTGACCTGACCATTAACATCACCAACTTCTCACTTACCAGTTACCAGTATTTACTTCTGCCTCAATGGTGATATCTTCTTAGTCACAGTGATGTCTTCTTCCCTAGGAGCAATCCAATACCTCTTGGGTTTGCCTCTGGTATCGTAGCTCTGAAGTGTGATTTCTGCTATGAGTAGTGTATCTCTCTTCCACAAGTCGTCTTGATTTTTGTTGTGACCTTTTTCACGTGTGAGATTGGCCTATATGTTGTGCACAATTCCATATGTGTTACACATGATTCTGTATACATTAAGGTACACATTATATCACATTCTTGGGGAATGTGGTCATTACACATCAGTTAAGCATTTTGTAGTGGAAGCTTGCTTAAGAAGTATTTTTTTAATATCCTTAAACTTTGAGCAGTAGCTTACAGATTTGTTGTTTTCTTTTGATCTGTCATCATAGCAAGGCATTACCTGCCCCATATGGCTTGAGGTTTTGTTTTGTTTGGGGTTTATTGGTTTGGGTTGGGTTTTTGTTTTTGTTTTGCTATGGAAAAGATACCTAGTTTAAAATCTCCCTCTTCTGGAGAGCCACTGCAACTACAGCTAACTTCTCTTAAAAGTGTGTTCTTCAAATTCGTTTTTCAGAACGAAGTTATTTTACAGCAGCTCTTCATTATTCATTGGAGGCACTTAAAACTGTTGATGTTTTCATATTGAACTACTGGACTACATCACGTTCTATTCAGAGTTATATTAGGGCTGTTTAGTGAAAGATGTGTGTGCAAAAAATGTAGATGTGGAAATTGCTGAAGTTCAGCTGTTACTATGATGAAATCTGAGCTCTGCTCGTGATTTATCCCTGTCCCTTAATGAAATATTTTCCCATTCCTTGTTCTTTGTACTATAGACATTTTTCATAATTCATGCAGTAACTTAAGGTTTTATAGTACAATAGGTAATATTATTTTCTTAAACCAATATTGTTCCAGTGAAACCAAATCAGGATTGCACCAGTGTGAGTGATTTGGCAGATGTTCTTCCTTTTTTTTTGTCCTTCCTGAAGTTCGTGTATAAACATGGAATAATTTTAGTACTGAAAACTGCAGTCCTCTTTAGTGTGCTGAACAGGCAAAGTACGAGCCCCAACATCCTGTTAACTGTGTCTTAGTCCTGTTTTCATCTTTATCTAAAAGTAATTTGTCTGTCGCTGCCCTGCCGACACTGCTCATACGGTTAACTGTTGGCAGTCGTGACAGTGGGGTGCACGATGAGGGCCCTTGTTTACTTCTAGGTGGACTGAAAATGCAATTGAATACAGGCCAGTAAACAATGTCCAAATGGAAATTATTGTCATTGCCAATAAACAGTGGCTGTGGACCAGTGACCTGGTAGCGAACACTTCCCGTCTTAAATGCAATTGCCCAAGTGATTAAGTAATTCACTTATAAGCCTGTAGTTCTTTGTTTTCCTGTGTAGCATTAGCATTACATGACTTGAGATAAGTTGTGATCATCGTATGAGCGTGTGTATGTACTAAAGAATAAATCTGGGCTATATCAGAGGCTGCAAGCATTTTTTCTGTTAAATGCAGAGCGACATGCGTTGATTCTTTCATGATTCTGATTCTTTTATGATTCAGAGAAATTCTTAGGGTTTATTCAAAAGCCTGCCCAAGTTAATGACAGGTTTTTTCCACAGATTTCAGGTTTTTTGGATTGTGTCCATACCTGTTCTGTGAGTCTCCTATCATCACTGAATGCTAAGGGGGAAAAAAAAAAAAACAAACCAAAAGAACCAAACAGAAAATAATATAAACTGCCTCATGGAGAGAAAGTTCATTTAGGGGCTGTTTCTCAGCTTGAATTGACTTTCCTGATATTTAAGTAATTAGAATTGAGTAACTAACAGAATGCCAGTAGATACTGATTCTAGATACTAGGTGGATGCCTAAATGTATGCTTTGAGCTGTCAGAAAGCATACTGTTCATAAAAGGGGACTCATTTAACTCCTGTATTTTCTTTCTTGATTCATATTTGCTGATGCCTTTATCTCTTATTCGTTAGAGAAGACTAGGAGATACCATCCGTCCATGAGAATAAGTAAGAATTAGTGTTAATTTCACTGGTATTCTTTTTATGGTTTATATTATCTTGTAATCATTTATCTTGTAATAATTTATTTTAAAACAAAATTAAATAAGGCATGATATTTCAAACAGCCCTTTACACCATACCTGAATTTTGTGCATTAATCATGACTTCCATCGAGTACGCAGCAACTATAACGCTATAGTGGATAGGTAGTAGCACAGATTTTAACTTAAATAAAATGATTTTATATTAAAATGTTTGCTTCCATTTTCTGCTTTTCTTTCTCTTCCGGGTTTTTCAGCCTCACTAAACCGTTTCAGATGCTTTGTTCTATAATTGGATTATATTGTTCAAATTGATTTCTATATTACATAATACAGATGTGTGCTAAAGTAGTGAACAGGATTTCTTAGGTTGCCTACAGTATACAAAAATTAACTCTTTGTGTGCTAATTATCAGCTATTACAAAAGGAGCAAACAACATAAAATACATATTTGTATGTAGAATTTGAAAATACAATTGGAGTATATTTGGTATCTGGGATACTTGCATTTCTTTGTTTAGAACTGATTGTACGCATTCCTGTGTACATGCTGTATATGTGTATATAATGTGAATGCTTTAAAAATATTGTGAATTGACCATGAAAGTTAATCTTCTTCATCTTGAAAGCTGTGTTTTCATCTTCTTCACCAGTTTGTTTCTAGGTCTTCATGATGCCATGTTCTATTTGATCTGTCTGGTTCCACTTTGCATTGCAGTCATACAGATCCTGACATGGACTCCCTTTTCCATCCAGAATAGTCATATGACAGCTGTATGCTAAATATGTAACGGTTGGGCAGTAAATCTTCTGCTGAGCTGTACCACAAAAGAGTTCATATGTTTTAAATGTGAAAAAGCAAAATTGCATTAAATGGACTATTAAACCAAATGCAGTTTCAGCCACTTCAATAAAGTCACATTCTTCAGTCTGTATAAACTATAACACCGATCATGTGCAGCCTTAATGCTGAGCCAACACAGAGTTCTTTTTCTAGTTCAGTTGTTTGCCTTTAATGGGCTTCATCCTTAATTACGAAATGAATTCATTTCTGGTATATACGGGTGACTCCTTTGAAGAATGGAGATGCCTGATCAGGTAAAGGAATCCCAACTCAGTACCTGGAATTCAAGGGAACTGTATTTTCTTAAGCTTAGTGAAAGATGGTGGATTAATCTTGCCGTACTGATGAAATGGCAGATCTCTGAAGTTGGTCTGGAAGAGCCTGGTGGACATCCCTCGTGGATGGCAGGGAGATGAAGGGAAAAACGTAGATGGTGTCTAGCTGACCAATATCAAGATGAATCTGACAGCTACCACAGGAAGAGCCAAGACCAATTAACTGCCCTGTAAAAGTCTGTGTAAGGCTAATGAAGAAAAAGATTAAAGTGCTGTTCAATAAAGCGTTGCTGGATATGGAAAAAGCTCCATATATCCTCGCTGGCTTTCCAAATGTCTCTGGTGGCAGGTAGATGCAATTTTCTGGCTTTAACTGGGAAAATCATTTTGAAGGCGCCATATTGTTAGTACTTTGTACAGAATGTCATTGTGGTAAGAAAAACATTAGCGCCGGGATGTAGTAGAGTTCGGTTAGTTGGACAAATCTGAGCGCACACGTATTGAATCAAGCTCTAGCCGCTTAGTAGCGTTACACTGGCAAGCTCATTTGATGTGCTGACAGTTGAAGCTAATTTCTGATTACTGAAGTTGAAGTCAGTTAATTTCTGATTAATTCTTACCAAAATCTTTTCAGTTAAGCTTTTAAATGGATCCTGTGATTTTTAAAGGTTTTTTGACAAAATAGTGAAATAGTGAATTCAGAAATAGTGAATCCTCTCTTCATTTCACACATGCTGTAATGATAAGATACATTAGCATGTTTACAATACTCCTGTTTAATAAATATTCTTTTTCCTCCAGTATATCCAACGTGTAATTGTGTAATGATAGATAGCTTAAGTATAATATAATCACTTCATTATTGTTCTTCATTTCGCCTGGGAAAACATAATTTTAGAAGCACCTTTCTTAGGGAGTGCCAGTCACTTGAAAGTACGAGAAGATGCATTGCATGTATCCCGATTTTAAAATGCTGAGTCTGCTTATTTCGAAGTCTCTATGTTTATCGTGATAGGTAACGTGGAAAAGAAAAGGGTGTAAGAAGTTGTCTTGCATTTTGGTGGACGCTAGCATAATTTAATGAAGAGGTTTGAGATTTGAAATACCAGTGGTGAAAAAAATAGTCTTTCGTGACTCAGTTTTTACATTTGCAGAGTAGAAACAACGTTGTTTCCTTGTCTTCTTTGAAGGGCAAAGTGCTTTCAAAGTGATGAGTGAAAAGGTTGGATAGCATTTTTAAATATTTAGAAATCCAAATGAACCCTGTGATACGACTATGAAGATTTATGTTAAAATGTAAGAAGCCAGAAGCGTGATGAAGTTTTAAGTTGCATTATCTGGGTTTTTATCTGTCTTGTCAGAGATACCATTATTCATTTGCATTGTACATGCTAATAGGATTACATACACATACTAGTGTCACTTGTATTTACATATCTAAAGAATATTTACACAAATACCACAGCAGATATGGATTGTGTGTTTAGATTCTGAATTTTAAAAGATTTACTACATCATATGTATGAATTTTGTGCCTGAAAGGCAGAAGGAGCAAAAGCCAGAGGACAAAAACCTGAAGGAATTTAAGTTAATGTAGTCTTTGATTCCTTATATGAAACTGTCTTCTCCCTGACAGTTCCTTTAAAATGGTAATAAATGACTTAAAATAGTTTTATTTTTCTTTTCTGTTTCTGTATATCCTAGATTTCATATGTTCATCCTATCCTCATAGAATATACGTTTTGATAGGTGAAAATGTTATTGTTCCACAAATAGGGTTTCTTAGATGACTGTGTTTATTAATTAGTTCTAATATTAAATTATTAGAACGTAGTGTACAACTGGGAGAGTACTGTGCTATACAATAGGAAAACTAGTAAGTGGTTTTAAGAGTCAAAATTATGCCAAGAATTCTTTGAAATTATCAGAATTCTTTTTTCTGGAAAAATGTTTGGTAAAGACACCATTTTGTTTGCTGAAATAAGAAAGGAGTAAGGGGTGATATAACTGAAGGCACAGTTTGAATTGCCTTTATAAACTGCTGCATCTGTAGAATTAAGATAGGAAAAGTAAATAGTCAAAGATTTCTAAGCAAGACAGCTTTAAGATATGAGAGAATAACTGTGTAGAATAAACTAGTTTAGAAAACAAATCTGAGAAATGCAATACAAATTATTTAATATGTAAAATATTAATAATTTTGAAAATTTATTATTTCTTATTGTCCCTGTCTTTCACCGCACCAGCAGTCAATCCAAAGGAGGACTGGGAAAACTGCTCTAAATTCAGATGGTAGTCTTACTACAAGAAGAGAAGGTTGGCGGTATGCCATCATTGACATTGCTTACTCTCCATTTCTCTGTCACCCACTAAGCTTTGTTATCCTCTGCTAAACCTACATGATTGGTTTTGGCCATGAATCAGGTAAAGGATGATCAAAGGCAAAAGTTCAGTGTCTACAACAGCTGATTTGTCTGTTTTCTCTCCTTATTAGCTAATAGCATCTGAGCTTGAAGTGCTGCTGCTGGAAAAATGCCCCAATTTAATCTTGATAATTTAAGAGTGTCTAAAACAGTCTCATAAATGATAAAGAGGGTTTAAGTGTGTACAACATCAAATGCTGTGATAACTTCAGAGAATCAGAAATTTGATGCCTGCATCCCATTCTTAGAGTTTCTCTATAAATTCTGAGAATTTGGATCTTAATACACTGAATGAATTTTATTTATTGAAAATCAATAGGTAAAAGCATCTACTAGATTTCAAAGGATGTTATCTAATAGATACTAAAGAATGTTAGTCTAATATAGTAGTAATATATGGTTAGTGATAGAGTGAAAACATTAAATATGCTCTGTTGTCATTTATTCAATCTTAAGTAGGAAAAAACTCGATTTATGTTTTGTGGAGCACACAGGCCTGCCTCTGTTCTCATCTTGTACAAAATGACCTTCCCAGCCGGCTGCCGTGCTGGTATTGGAACTGCTGGGTAATTCGTGAATATACCGTGTTGGCACAGCTAGTAGGATGTTTACATTTTAATATGGCTGTACAGCTTAACGGCTGCTGTCAGGAAAGACAAGCAGGAAGGTGAAGGAACAGCTGAGAGGAGCCACATCTCCACAAATACTTCTGAGCCCTTCCTTACAGAATTAAGCCAGCTTGGGAAAAAACTCCGTAGTACGTGCAGTGAAAAGAACTATAGCTGGTTTTGTAAAGGAACGTAGAAGCGAGGCTGGGGGGAGTTGTCTTAAAGAGTTGGACAGACCCACAACGGGGCTTCCCAGGTTACCTTTGGGGGAGAGGATTTTAGACGGGTATCTACGCTTGTTCGGCTTGGACACCTCTTTCTGGTAACCACTTTCTTGCTATTGTTTAAATAATAGAAGGGAAAAGTTGTTTTATCACTGTACTCGATTGGGAAAATTGCAGATGTGCACCTTGGACCACGTGAGGCTGCACAGGCAGCCCTGTCACCGAGTCCTGCTCCAGAAGACCAGATTTGCTCCAGATCCTTGCGATCACCTCGAAGCAAACACAGGCTGCTGAAACCCTTTGGGTATGTTTTGGACATTTTGGCCTCTAGGTATTCAACTGACTATAGACATTTTCCATGAACAGAAAGAAGAAACACTATCTAAATAGTTGAGGAGAAAGTAGGAGGAAAGCAATTCCTTCTTTTTCTGGAAATGCTCTCCCAGCGCAGTAACTACTTTGAATGACGTATGCATACACTTACACAACAAGTATTCTTCTGGGGTTGTCCAGCAGTTGGTTGCAATTCCACCAGCCTACATGCAAATGACAATACATCAAAATTCTTACTTAAATATGCATGAATAGTGTGTTCTTTATAACCCATCGAGAAAAATATGCTTAGTATACAGCTAGTGCAGCAGAATATTAATGACAAATGTAACACTGGGGAGGAACTTTGAAAAATCTCATTAAAACATACCCAGCTTGTATACTAACAATGCAAGGACAAAAGCTACCATATTTCTTAATTTATTTGGTATGCAATTCATTACCTGTATTTTAGGTATGATAAAATTAAGATACATTTCCCTGTGAACACCATGCAACTAACCTGAAGCAATTTTATTTAGTGGTTTACACATTGTGAGCAGATGTCTGTTTGAAAAGCAGCAAATTTAGCTTTTGTCATTTTGGATTTTGATTATAAAGTTATTTTATTCCTGGAGGGGAAAAAATAAGCTAATCTGTCTTTACAAACAAGAACATACATAGAAAGGAGAGTCCTAATCCCAAACCAAATAAATAGACCAAAAAAGGCATCTTAGCCCATCTAGCTATGGGAAGGGGGTGGGGGGGGAATCTTCATGTGGAAAACTGTCTAAAGCTTTCATGTCAAAAACTTCCCTCAAGGAGGTTAAACATCAGTGAAAGTGAACTGAACAGAAAAATCCTCTGGCACTATTCTGTTGTTGCTCGGGTTTTGCAGATTTCCCAGGATGAGCGAGGTTGGATGCGATTAGTGTGTGATCAGAAGATCTTCCAGGCAGAAGCCGGGATCCCGCGGCGGTCTGGCTTCCAGGGTGGGAACGGAGGGGCTCGGCCCCACCTCTGCACTCCCACCCAAGGGAAGGACACCGACTGCTTGCGGTTGCTAAGAAACGTTTTTCTGAGATTGG